ACACGCGGACACACGGGCGGACACACGGACACACGGACACATGGACACGCGGACACAGCACGGACACACGGACACGCGGACACACCGACACACGGACGGACACACGGCCACCAGACNGAGCCCCCCAGCCCCGCGCTCACTGTCGCACACGTAGGGTTTGTCCCTCTCCTCCAGCACCGCGTCCACCCTCCTCTTCATCACCAGCCCGTAGGCCTGCGGGCAGCGGCGCGTGGGCACGCGGACACACGGACACCACATGGACACACGGACACGGACACGCGGACACACGGACACCACATGAACACACGGACACACGGACACGCGGACACGAGGACACGCGGACACACGGACATGCGGACGGACACGCGGACACGCGGACACGCGGACAGACACGCGGACACACGGACACACGGACACACGGACACAGCACGGACACCACATGAACACACGGACAGGCGGACACCACATGGACACCACATGGACACGCGGACATGGACAGACGGACACACGGACACACGGACGGACACACGGACGGACACACGGACACCGCACGGACACATGGATGCACGGACACCGCACAGACGGACACACGGACACCGCATGGACACGCGGACACACGGACACGCGGACACGCGGACACGCGGATACCGCACGGACACACGGACACAGCACGGACACACGGACACACGGACACCGCACGGACACATGGATACACGGACACCGCACAGACGGACACACGGACACTGCACGGACACACGGACACATGGACACACGGACACACGGACGGACACACGGACACACGGACACACGGACGGACACACGGACACCGCATAGACACACAGACACACGGACACACGGACACACGGACACCGCACGGACACACGGACACACGGACACACGGACACAGGAATGGACACCGCACGGACACACAGACACGCAGCCGGCCGGCTGTCCCGCTGTCCAGCCGTCCATCTGTCCGGCTGTCTGTCTGTCCCGCTGCCCACATGTCCGGCTGTCCGATGTCCCATTGTCCATCTGCACAGCTGTTTGTCTGTCCAGCTGCCCACCTGTCCCTCTGTCCACCTGTCCCTCTGTCCACCTGTCCCGCTGCCCATCTGTCCCTCTGTCCATCTGTCCTCCTGTCCATCTGTCCCCCTGTCCACCTGTCCTTCTGTCCCTCTGTCCATCTGTCCCCCTGTCCATCTGTCCCCCTGTCCATCTGTCCCCCTGTCCATCTGTCCCCCTGTCCATCTGTCCCCCTGTCCATCTGTCCCCCTGTCCATCTGTCCCCCTGTCCATCTGTCCCCCTGTCCATCTGTCCCCCTGTCCATCTGTCCCTCTGTCCACCTGTCCATCTGTCCATCTGCCCCTCTGTCCGTCTGTCCCCCTGTCCCTCTGTCCCACTGCCTGTCCATCTGTCCATCCGCCCCTCTGTCCGCCCCGCTGTCCCCCTGTCCCTCTGTCCGCATGTCTGTCCATCCCCCTGCCCAGCCGTCCCTCTGTCCGCCCGTCCGTCCGTCCCACTGTCCGTCCGTCCATCCATCTGTCCGTGTGTCCATCCATCCGTCCTTCCGTCCGTCCATCCTACTGTCCACCCCACTGTCCATCCGTCTGTCCGTGTGTCCATCCATCCATCCATCCATCCCACTGTCCATCCATCCGTCCATCCCATTGTCCATCTGTCCGTCCACCCCACTGTCCATCCGTCCGTCCATCCCACTGTCCATCCATCTGTCCGTGTGTCCATCCGTCCGTCCGTCTGTCCGTGTGTCCATCCATCCGTCCATCCGTCCGTCCACCCCACTGTCCATCCCACTGTCCATCCGTCCGTCCACCCCACTGTCCATCCGTCCGTCCGTCTGCCCAGCTCTGCGGCTGCCCGCTTGCCCGGCTGTCCGTGTGTCCGTCCACGTGTCCGCGTGTCCGTCCGTCCGTCCCACTATCCACCCCACTGTCCATCCAAAGGTCCGTCCCACTGTCCGTCCCATTGTCCGTCCGTCCGTCCGTCCGTCCAGCTGCCCTGTTGCCCGGCCGTCCGCGTGTCCGTCCGTGTGTCCGTCCGCGTGTCCGTCCGTCCGTGTGTCTTTGTCCGTGTCCGTCCGCGTGTCCATCCATCCGTGTGTCCGTCCGTGTGTCCGTCCGCGTGTCCGTCCGTCCGCATGTCCGTCCGTCCGTCCGCGTGTCCCACCTTGCCCTTGGCCTTGTTCTTGCGCCGGGGGGGGTCATCGTCCAGCTCCTCCCCGTCGGGGTCGTGCGGGAACTCGGGGGGCGGCGGCTTCTGGGGAGAATTCCGGGGAAATCGGGGTTTGGGGGGGATTCCGGG